CTCCACCTCCCCAGCAAGTGTGCAACTCCTCACCTGGCTATTTTAAGGTGGGTTTCAGGGATAGAACTCAGGCCTCTGTGCTTTCAAACCAAGGTAAGCAATTTAACTGAGCTAGCTCTCCAGCACCATAGGTTGTTTGGGTCTCAATTTTCTTTTTTTTTTTTTTTTTTTTTTTTGCAGGACTAAGAATTAGGTCCCCTGCTAAGCAAATGCTCTATCCCCTGGGACCCAAATCCGGCCTTTCATTACAACAATTTTATGCATGTATATAATATACTCAGATCATATTCCACTCATTCACCTCTCTTGTGCCCTCTTCCCCTCCAACTAATCCCCTTCCTTATCGTGAACTGGGTAGGTTTTGACCATTTTATTGATAATTGACTCCTTACCATGAATTCGGTAACTATGTGATAAAACAGGGTTCCCTACTGGATGCACAGACTCAAAGTCAAACAGTATTTCATTATTCTAAAGACACAGGCTATATGATTTCTCATGTAATTTTTCAATGTAAACTATACCACCAAAAAAGTCTGACCTCTTAAGAAAATGCTAAGCACATGTTATTTAATGACTTGGAATGTGCTCTTATCATATCATAGAGAATACTAGTTTTAGACAGGGAGCGTATTTTTTTAAATAGCAGAGTCAAGGCCTTGACCTTACCTTCCATCCCTAAAAGTGGAACTCCATGTGGAAATGTAGGGCTTCACTTTCTCAGTGGAAAACAACCACTCTAATAGGTTTTCTAAAAATTAACACGATTCTTTTAGAGGAAATGCGGGGTTTATTGCGTAAAGGATTTATATTTATTAATCAAGGATACAAGGCAAAACGAACACTATTAAAATTAAGCAAAATGTTGACAGTTGATGTGAACTATTATTTCAGCTTGGTGAGAAAAATCTAGCTAGAGTTAAGGTAAGTTCCATTAAATTCATAAAGAAAATACAATAGTTCTGATACCATTAAAGTAATAATAACCTTTGAAATAACAAAGTATAACCAGTATAAATGCCTTAGTTTGGAGACAAAAATACATACATTGTGTGCTGGAAGCTGATGTGTCACAGAACATGGGTAATGGTTTGTAGTCTTACTGCTTTACAACCAAAGCCTGAGATGGTTACCACCACCCAGGAAAGCTAATGATAGGCACCATCTGATGACGAGCTGGAAGGAAATTACACGATATGACTCTGCCTATCAGCAGAGACTAATGAAGCATTTTTCTTCTTGGTGCAGATTTATACAATCAAGCCTCAGGGAGGCCAATTTTCTATCATACAACATCAACAGCAAATTCATAGGGGTTAAATTTCCATCACCACTGTATCAAAACAGAAAATTCACAGCACTTTTCACAGTTGCCACACTGAGAAATGAAATTCAAGGGAAACATGGTATTTCATTTACAATTTACTAGCTCTTCCAGTGTTTCAGAGATACAGGGATATAGGAATAGGACAGAAAGTGGACATAGAACACAACAATACACAAATATCTTGATTGAATCAGTCTACTGCTGTAGTTTTTCAAGCTAATCAGATGTCTGTCTCCAGCCAGGCGATGTTAAAGCTCACAAATAACCTTAGTGTCCAAAAATTAGAGAAAAATGGTTAATTTACTTGTTACCTAATTTCATCATCAGCATTTGCTTACACCCTGCTGTATTCCCACTAATGAAGACCTCCCCATTTGCTCCCAGGCTATGCCCCAATTAAAATATAACAGGTACACTAGAGATTAATTCAGCCAGTAACAATTGCCTCCCACATCTGCTTTCTGGTTTAATCCAGATGAAATTAATCCACCCAAATCTATTCTACCAAAAGTACTTTTCTACCAAGCAACACTCTTAAGCACTGATTAAGACTGTTTGGTGAATGAAAATTAAGGAGTAGGGGAAATGCCAACATTAGTCAAGAGCAAGACATTTTCTTGAACACTTCACGAATTAAAGGTCTTTCTTGGCTAGACTCTATTTCTCCCCACTCTAGGTCAAAACACATGAGAAAGGAGACCTCTTGTGATCTTCACGTTAACATGTATAAGTCACACTTCAATTCAGACAAGATCTGTTATTGGAGAAATTCTTGAAAAAGCAAATGTGGATAAGCCTCATTAGTACTTTCAGGCCAGCCTTGCAGATAGAAAGCTGACCTGTCTAAACAGTGCTTAGATACCAAGAAGAAGATTTAAATAAGCTACTGGAGAACACCTTGGAAAAGTTCATAATTCATATGCACAAGCTACCATAATATGAATATGAACAGGGTTAAGAATCAAACTGAACGCACCTTAAAGTTGGAGAGAAATAAGCCCGTGTGTATACTGGTTATACTATTTCATATTGATTATTTGTTATAGCACGAGAAAGGCAGTAGGCGAGAAAGATTCCAATTAGCTGGAGAGAAAATATGAACAAAATTAAACACCACACACACACACATGTATATATGTATGCTGTATACTTACTGGTGGGATTAAATTGAAGGCATAATTGAAGGCATAATTGGCTATGACAATAAAAATTAAAATTTAGAGCTATTTGTAGTTGTGTAAAACAAAGAAGTCAGAAAACCCTTCACTTGAAAGTAAGTCCCATGACTTTACCATAGGAAAAGCCAGAGGGTTGCTATCCTGTGATGGTCAATTGGCTGCTATTTGAAAAATAAGACTTCAGTAGCCAGTCTCCTGAAGCAAAACCTTCCCATCTTTTGTTTGTTTGTTTGTTTTGTTTTTGAGACAGTGTTTCTCTGTAGCTTTGGAGGCTGTCCTGGAACTTACTCTGTAGACCAGGCTGACCTCGAAGTCACAGAGACCACCTGCCTCTGCCACCTGAATGCTGGGATTAAAGGCATGAGCCACCAACGCCCGGCCAACCTTCACATCTTAAAAGTGAAACCCAGCTGGGTGTGCTGGCACATGCCTTTCATTACATCACTTGAGAGGGAGAGGCAGGTGGATCTTCTTGAGTTCAAGGACAGCCTGTTCTATCTACATTTTGAGTTCCAGGACAGCTAGGAAATATTGTGACACTCTGCCTCAAAGAAACAACCCCCCCAAAAAAAACCTTCCTCTTATATCTACAAGAACAAGACATTTCACAAAGAACAAAGAGCTTACCTGAAAGCAAGCAACTCCAAAAGAAATTCCAGCAACGACTCCCATTTCTGACTCTATAATTGTCATTACCTTTATGAAGCAACCCTAACGGCAGAGGAAAAGACATTAAGTACAAAACAAGAAAGCTGTGCTTTTCTTCCTGGCAATTACTATTTTGATCATTCAGCTGTCCACCGAAGAAGGTTTTGAGCTACGATTAGCCTTTATCATTTTACTGAAATCTAGCTTGTTTTATCTGCTCCCAGTCTCAACTACTTTCACCTTTTGGATGATGCATTGGAAAGTCACTTGCTAGTTGTAGCACCAGCTACCCTACAAACCAGATTATTTATATTCACACTTTGTATTCCATTAAATCCCCAAATACTTCCAAAAAAGCCCTAAAAGGGTCATTACCTCTTCGTTGACTTTATCTGCATCTCTCTGCGGAGAACACCCCTCCAGCTTACAGCAGCTCTTGGGAAATCCTGTTTCTGAGTAATAAGTAGTACCTTTCCAGTCTCTATAGTTGGTGACACCACAACAATGCAACTGAAAAAAAAATTTTAAAAAACATTTGTAGTCATTCATATTACTGGTTTGCAGCCAAGCATTTACCCTTCATCTCCTATTGTAATATGTGACCAAACCAATATGTGACATACTGGACGATCTCTCTTCTTGATTAATTCAAGAGACTGGCACTTGACTCTAACAATAAGCATCAATGTTTTAGGCTGACTTTACTGCCCTGTCGTGGTTGGCATTCACAGTATTTGTCTATGATGTAAGTGGGGAGGAAACGAACAAGGACACGCAGGTGGACTTAACACATCGCTTTGTAGGATCATCGCACACGACTTTTGCATACACGGGGGGGGGGGGGGGGGGGCCCAAAGGCTGCCTCCTGACGCAATAAAGAATGTACTTCCGTCTTGAGAAGACACCAGCCCTAAGCACTTACCGTACTTTGGATCTTGTCTACAGCTTCACTTCTATAATCCCGTGTGGCATTGTACTCCTTCAAAGCATTTTCATAGTTATTCTTAAAGCTGTTCTTAATCTGTATCAAAAAAGGAAAATGCCGATCAACAAATATTCTAGAAAACACTTGGGGCTTGCTACATCAAATAGAATTCTAATGTCTGGCCAATGGTTATAGCTTGGATGTGTGGTAGTTAACTTCCACGGTCCAATTTTGTCTACTAAGGGATACAGTTTGTCTAAAAGGCCTATAAAGCAAGATGTGAGCTGCAAAGTTTTACATTGGAAGATTACACTAACAGTTCAAACCACACTAGATGAATGGCCTCTCAACAGTGCCGTGTTTACTTGATTTTAATAAATAACTCTTAAGACTTTGGTGATTTGCATTAATTATTTCTTTTCAAAATGTAACTTATGGGAAGGTATTAATTGTATTGTAGACTGTATTTTACTTTCCCATTAGTAAAGTTATAAAGCCCCACTTTAATAGGTGCATGTGCACCAAATTACAACTAGAAACTAGTGTGAAGGTGGCACCATTTTCTTTTTCTTTCTTTCTTTTTTTTGTTTTTTTGTTTTTGTTTTTGTTTTTCGAGACAGGGTTTCTCTGTGTAGCTTTGGAGCCTGTCTTGGCACTCCCTCTGTAGCCCAGGCTGACCCCGAACTCACAGAGATCCGCCTGCCTCTGCCTCCCTAGTGCTGGGATTAAAGGCATGCGCCACCAATGCCCGGCTTGTGGCACCATTTTCTTCTAGTGATTATTATCTTACAAATTTTTGAATGTTCATTTACATTAAAAGTATGTCAGAATTTTTACTAGAAAACCACTATTGTCAGACTGAGGTTCAAAGCTTGAAATACAGCCTGAAGTGGTTTTTAAAAATAATGAAAACTGTCAAACCTGCTACCTAACCTAAGATGAATTTTAACATAGTGTGATTGTCTAATTCAGGCTTACCTCATGTCTGAAAACAAATCCTACAATGGCAGCAACTAGTTCGACCAAAAAAATGAGTGTCAGAAACATCGCATACTGTGAGGTTAAAAAAAAAAAAAGTTCAAGTTAGTACAAATAAGACTCATTGAGGCTGCAAGGGGAAGGTGACTGGAATTCAACATATTTTTTATTGAAAGGGTAGGGAAAGCAGTATCAAAATGTCTACTTAAATATGGAAGCCGGTAGTGGGACTGTTAGCTTTTTTCATAAGAAATGAGAAAAAGTGTAAACAGCTATGGGCAGTTCCGAGAAACATAGACAAAAGGTTAGAACATGTAAGACTTCTAAGAAAACTCACCAGTTTCAGCATCCATGCAGAGGCTCGACAGGTAGCAAAACAACCAAAGGTGCCCAAGAGAATAATGACAGTGCCTGTGCCAATGAGCACAAAAGGGACATTGGTGGCCTTCTCATTTAAAAGAGAAAAATAATTTTCCAGGCTCACCTTGCCCCAAATGCCAACGGCAAGAAGGATAACACCAGTGATCTACGTGAGAAATCAGAGAAAGAAACAATTAGGCACCATACAAGCTTGTGTCTTCTACCACAAACTCAGGAAGTATCTTAAGACACAATTGGTGTGAGAATTAATTTAGCAGTCTGGTTGCCTCAGTGCGGTGGGTAGGATAAGGGGGTGAGGGGCAGGTACTGACAAGGTATGAAAGGGTTCTACAAATAAAGGAAGCTTGTGGACAAGGCATCTTCTCAAAATTGCATAAAATCCATGTGTTTTATTGTGTAAAACACATACCCCACGGCATACAAGTCTAGAGATCAAAATTTCCTTAAGCAATTTACTCCAGTCTGAGAAAGAAAGCCATTTTGTAAGGGGGAGGATCAGAAGCGTTTCTGGATTCCAGGAACTTCTTGCATCCCCCATCCCCAATTTAGGGATGGACGTAGGATACAAAGGGATGGAACACAAAAGAAAATCCAAGGATAGACTGGCAGGAACAGAATCACACCATACTTACCTGTGAAAAACTCCCCTCTTATGAAGCAGTGAAAAGAGAGATACTATTATGCAAAAGACCCCTTCAAAGGGAAGGAGACAAGCCTCTCATCTCCAAAGGTTCAGGGACACCTTGTGTGCTCTAAGGGCCTTAACTCTTGTTCCAACCTCGATCTCTCCTGAGACATCTGGGTTCCACTTCAACCAGGAATATCGCATCAAGATCCTAGCGCCGATGCTACAACGCCCGGGACCCAATCCCAGGGCCCCCGCCACTGCGGCCTAGGCCACTGGTCGCCAACGCTGGGGTCTCGGCGACAGCCACCCAAATCTCAACCCATTCCAGACCTGAGGTTCTCTGCTCCGGGTCACACCCACCACCTAAGCCAATGTTCCCCAGCCGTTCCCGTGTCTCACCCAAAAGATGAAAGTGTAGATCAAGAGAACGCTTTTGAAACAAGTAATGACTGGTTTAGTCTGCAGCCTCCGAGATGGGGACGCCATGACTAGCCCGAGACCCTGCGCCTCCGCAACGGGCGATCACTCGAGCCAGCCAGGCACGGGAGTTCCCGAGTTTCCCCGGAAACTGCCGAAAACTTACGAATATCTGCAACTGAGAAGAGCCGGAAACACGCTACGATTTTCTAGAGGGTCACGTCTAGGAGGCTGTCCGGAAAGCTGAGACAATTTCGGAGCGCCCCCTGCTGTGCGTTACTGGAAACTATACATACAGTTTCTAGTGGAGCTTGCTTCATTTTGTTGTTCCTTCTATGGAATCTTTCCCGTTTTCCACCCATCCCTCTTCCCCATCCATTTTTTTTTACTTCATCATATGTTGTCTATCACTGCCCGCAGTGCTGAAAGGTCCAGCCTCCCAGGTCCCTAGTGCCCTAAAAGAAAAGAATAAAAACAAAAATCAGATTACCCTCCACTTGGATATGATTTTTGCTTCTCATGGGAATAACAGGGTAGGGATATTTTCTACTAATCAAGTTCACAGTACTTACATAAATACAAATGAATGAAGTGATATAGGCACTCTCTAGAAACAGAGAATACTTCATGGGTGCAAAGACTTTATATTAATTGATGTATATTCCTGTTTCCTTCATAAAATATATAACCTTTCATGAGAAAATAATAATCTCTGGAAATTCTAGTTGAAACTAACAGCAATTATACAAATTTATATGTTCCTTTGTCTATACAGTGACACATAGCAGTTTAGTTTTGTAATTGGATATCCAGACATTTAAAATATAAGAATGAAATATGCTATTGCGTGTAGGTACTTGCTTCACCATTATGTATTACAAATATATTGATTTATACTGTTACATCACAGAATGCATATTGAGGGCTGGTTTCTTTGAGAGCAGAGATGGTTGAGCGTGTGCTATCACTACAGGCAATATCACATCCAGGTTATATGTTCATGGGAGACAAGTGGATG